TAGCGATCCGAAGGGAGAGTTTTTCCCAGACTTAAAGATCACCTGAGTTGCTTCAGTGTCAGTAGCGATCCGAAGGGAGAGTTTTTCCCAGACTTAAAGATCACCTGAGTTGCTTCAGTGTCAAAATTCTAATTCAAAAACCCTTTCACAGGAAAACGATGTATAATAACAGTTATTTAGAAGAACAGACCTCGTCGGCTCCTGCTGACTTCTATGATTATATTTCACGGTACACGTGCGTTGACTCTAGTCTCTAGTCATAAATTAATCCTTTTTTGTGTCTCCTCAGAGCATAAAAACTAAACAACTAGTGTCTGATTTGAAAGTACTGCGCCTAATCTTGTTGTAAGTAATTGTTCTTTATTTCATATTCTCAAACTCATTAATAATTCATGACTTGCCTGTCCAATCATTTGATCTCTTTAGGGTCACGTGTATGCATTTGGATACCTTGATCCAACACCGAATGCAAATGAGATCCATCTCCTAGGATTTGGATATCCAAGTCCTAGGAGTTTCCTCAGATATCCAAATCCTAGAGCTGCATATTTAATTTTAGTACAAAATATTACCTTCATCTGATATTTTTTCTAGCTTTTATATACTATTTTCCCTTTTTCTTCTTACTTTCTTTTCTCTTTTTCCCTAATCTAATCTACCTGATGACTTACATATTACATTTATTCATTTATTTTATTTTTACTTCTTTTTAACTTATGTTGCGGCGCCGGTGACTCGAACCATTGACCTCTGGCATGAAATCCCATAGACATACCAACTAAGCTATTTGTGATTTGGTTGGATATTATGATTTGATTCTAATGGTCATTCATTTAGTTTCAAATAATGCATGCACATCAGCTTTTGCGTTAGTAACAAATACTATATTCACGCATAAATGGACAGTCAACTAACAACGAATACCTGTAGAAAGCTACATTTTTATTGAACAACTTCTTATTTTAATTACTATAATAGAAGCGAATTTCACAATTTTTGAAGGTATTTCCAACACAGCCAATAGTTAAGAGAAACCGCGGACATTTCCTTCAATTCTTCCGTTACGTCCTTCACATCGCTGAGTCTGCACTCTTTAAACGCGTTTGCTACTTCAAATGAAGGATACTTGATTTTACGGGATCTGCCACGTTTTAAAAAGCTCAACAGACCATTTGGTCTTGTACAAAGTTGATTTTGGTGTCGACTCCACCAGCAAAGGAGACTCTTCTTCTTCGAAATCTACACGCGTTAGAAGCTTCAGCCATGGTTTACTGACTCAATTCGTTCAGCTAAAGCCAGTCTTATATACGAAAAGTTCACAATGAATTGAATTAAATCATGCAAATTCCTTCGTTTTCTAAACATACCTCTTATTGCTAATGAGTCATGCATTATTAATTTGTTTGAGAAGCCAGATCAAAAACTCGTGCTTCGTGTTTCATCAGGGGAATCCAAACACCTCGAAACAGATAAAAGCACTCTGCCTGCGGCCTCGTGCTTTCATCAGTTCCTCGGTATTTGGATCCCCTGATGAAACACTCGCCCTCGTCTTTGATCTATTACGTAAAATCTGTTATTTGTTTCATTTGAAAATCGCGCGAGTTCCCCATGCACTGTGTCACAAAGCGCGCGCACTGTAGCGCGTGTACGACATATTTATTACAATACGTCACAAAGAAAACATGTCTTCTTATTGTACATTAGTAGCAATGTTGAGGATGTCTTTCGGTAGTTTTTCAACCATGAAAATTCACTGCCTAAATCGACAAATTTCAAGAAACGTACACCGAAACTGAACATGGACGAGCTCGAGCTTTCCAATGACAGCAGTGATGTAGATCTTTCTGCTGAAGAAATTTTTGATAGAGTCATTCAGCACTCAAAGCTAACTGCTTTGAACACAAGGCAGAATAACTTGGGTCAAGAACAGTGTGGTAACTCGGAGTCTCCTGAAAGTAATCTAACCACAGGTACTGGAGGTAATCACGTGACCGTGCACTTGAGAGAAATCCCTGAGGTTCTTATTAACTGCGGTGCTGAAAAATTAGATGGATGTTCTGTTCATAGTCTATCGCTTCCGAGCCTTACGAACACTCGTGAAAGTGGATCGAATACTGCGAAAGGGATCCATGGAAGAGGCGAGCAAGCAGTGGTGAATAGAGTGCAGAGTGACGTTGTTTTACCCWTGTTTCGTGATGTCCCGCTCAAAGATTATGTCGAAGAGTGGATGAATAGTGRAAATAATAATGAATATTATTGGAACAATGCGCAAATTGAAGGTGACAGAGCTAACGAATTACATACTCAAACAGATCAATCAGAAAGGCCTCCTACAAGTCCCAAAGCAATATCAAGTACTGAATCAGACTTCGCTGGACATTCACATTTTTTCGAAAATAGTGAATACTCTTGGAGCAATGAAGAAATCGAAGATGAAAAAGACCACGCATCAAGTCAATCTGCAAAGACGCCTCCCAGTTACAAAATACAGTCTAACACTGTAGCTGACTTCGAAGAAAATCCAGATATTTTAGCTAAGTCTTCGCCATGTTCTTCTCTGTTGTCCGATTATGACGAAGAGAGTGCTGAAGTGGCGGAAATCATGGCTGAGCAACAAGATACAGCTAGAGACCAAGGGAGTCGTCTTCAATCTCGCTTAGCAGCTGTTCAAGTCAAAAAGAAATATAAAATGATTCAAAAGAGAAAGCGTCGCCCAGTTAACTTGCCAACAAACTATCTTGATATGCCGTCAACGTCGAGGGAAGCTCCCGAACCCCGTGAAACAGCCTTTGCTATTGTAAACCATATGGGCACGTCCAGTCAAGTTAACAAAAAAATCGYTCAAAATCCTCCTAGAAAAACCTATCGTAACATGGAGAATCAGGCYTGCGAAAGTTACCAAACTAATATAACAAGAGCTRCATCATTTGATCTTTGCGAGCCGTCTTCGTCTGGAAAGCGCAAAGCAAAATCCCAAGACATTTTAATTGATGATCTGAGTGACATTTCTGATGATGAACTTCCACCTCCGACTCCACCACCACTGCCTGACCGACAAGTGCTGTTCCGACGCCCCAAGCGACACAACGATGATTTATTTATCAGAAAACTCACTCCTTGCGACGAGCTGAGGTTTTTGGCCCGTGATGTACATCTCAAGTGGATCAGCCTTGCTCGAGCCAAGCAAAAACTAAAGRAYATCTTCAGTCGAGMTGACAGGCAGGGCTGGAATGAAGTTAACGCTGAGTATACTCATTCAGCCTTGATGAAAACTTGTGCTGAAGATTCSGCTTTGCAGGTCGTTTATGYCATGGCCAAGGAGGACGATGATGAAGCAAGAAGTAAAGTAGAAAAGAGAGTATTTRATGCTGGCTGTTCGATAGCTACTCAAACTAACGTGARGGAAGATGAACTAGTGGAAATGTGCAATGATTCCGGAACTGATTAACTTGATAAATGAAAGMAATTTTAGGATTCTATTATTTATCGATATTTAGTTGTTGACTTGGCAAATATTTATTCAGTCATGATTGAAACTCAGGACAACTCCGGACAAATCTTTGTGTATATCTTRCACAGTAATTATTGCATTTCAATATATTATATTCTTCATTTTTTCCCMAAAAAATTGCTGACTAAATTGATTGTTATTGTGTCTCTGTCTTTCTTTATTCTAGTTTTTTTTTCAATGATGTTCAGTAATACCATAGCACATTATTTATACTTGTGTTTTCTCTATAATCTCAATATTGTACATGACTGAAACAGTAACTTTTGAATGATAATGTGATAAGATTAGATCAGTTTAAATTGTGTTGAAAGGKGATCTACAACCACTTCTACAGAGCATTTATACGGACGCTTATAGAGAGCTCACTTGGGCTTGTTTGCATATAAAGACTACATTTTTTTCTTAGGATGTAAAATCAGTATAATTTACAGTTTTCTTTTTATAATTTTACAGTTATCTGACGCAGTATGATTGCGTAACATTTTACTCGTTTCTGGAGTCTTTAAGGTAAGGCGTTAAGGAAGGTAGCGGCTATTAAACAAGCTTTATACAATGAGAGACTATAGAGAAGGAACCAAAACGTAGCGAAATTCCAAGGCTTCTTTTTTCTTTAGGGCAAGTCAGCGTGACGTCACACGTCAATCACTATGGATGTTTATGGACGCTGCTGATTCATTGTTCGTGGTATGTGAGTGACCGTACTTTGATTTAATTCAAATTTGCTGCTTGTTTTAATTCGCTACTTTTGTAGCACGCAAAAGAAAGAGTTTATGGTTCAAGGCAGTCACAGAAATCAAAACGACAGAAAASAGACACCGTAGAGAAGTATGCTGTGCTTGTGATTCATGATAATGGTTGTTATTGTTGCTATAGTGACGATGGACTATGTTTGATATTTTTGATAACGGTGTCATAGTGTACAAAAAATGGATCGATGTTTTTTTTAGATAKCATAAGTAAATTTTAAATGCAGCAACGTCATTTTCTTATGCAAGCCGTAGCCTTTTTTAATTTTTTCTTCTCTTTTCGTTGATCTGTCTAAATAATGTACAATTACAGCTGTTTTTTTCTGTTCCTTTCTTTGTCTTCTTTCTTCTTTTTTTTTTCTTTTTTGTTGTTTTTTTTTTTCGAAAAAAATACAAGTTCTGCGAAGAAGACACAGCAACCGGAGGAAGAAAGCGAGAAGTATTTTTCCCTTGATGCTTTATTGTACAAAATTACATCGCTGCACATGCGTGCCTCCCTTTATTCTACCTCCCATCCATCCATCCATCCATCCATCCATCCATCCATCCATCCATCCATCCATCCGTCCGTCCGTCCGTCCGTCCGTCCGTCCGTCCGTCCGTCCGTCCGTCCGTCCATCCGTCCGTCCATCCGTCCATCCGTCCGTCCGTCCGTCCATCCATCCGTCCGTCCATCCATCCGTCCGTCCATCCATCCGTCCGTCCATCCATCCGTCCATCCATCCATCCGTCCATCCGTCCGTCCATCCATCCATCCGTCCGTCCATCCATCCATCCGTCCGTCCATCCATCCATCCGTCCGTCCATCCATCCATCAGTCCGTCCATCCATCCATCCGTCCATCCATCCATCCATCCGTGAAACTTTCATTTCTTCTTCTTTACTTCGCCCTTTTATTCATTAAAGTTTGCTTAATCCGCTCTAGTATTCGTTGTTTATRTATGATATGTCTATTTTAGTTTAAACAAGAAGAAAGATGCTCAAGAAGATTACAAAATGGAGGAAAGTCCTAAATGGAAATTATTAGCCGACATTTTAGAGGAAATAGAAAAAGACGAAGAGAAAAACAGGCAATGTAAGAAACAAACAAATCTCTCCCTGAATCTCTCCCTCTTTGGCTGCTACTCCCCCCCCCCCCCCCCAACTCTCTATCTCTCTCCATCTTTGTCTGCTACTTTGACTAATAAGCTTGATAGATTTCATTGCCTTCAGCAACAACAATAGCACAAATCAACCGTATACAAAAAAAAATAGTCACCGTATAATTATCCAAGAAAACGAAAAAAAAACCCGAAATCTGAGATCTAATAGTAAACATCTTCTTATGTTGCCAAAATCAAGAACAATTACTTTTGGCGAGAGATCCTTTTCCGTGTGTGCTCCCAAGCTGTGGAACAATTTACCAATAGACATCAAGACTTCTCCATCCGTAGACATTTAAAAAAAAAGACTTAAAACATTTCTATTTAACACATAAATTTTTATTCCTATGTCTGACATTTCTAGGAACTTTTTTCTACATTCTTACCTGTAAATCTATCGTTTTTCATGCATCGTCAACTTGTCATGCARCAAAAATACATCGTGAAAAACGAGAAACATCGATGCTCAACTTCAACAGAAACGTTTCGCGCAAAGTTGAGGGTTTTTGTTTCTCGTATTTACTCGCCTTAACAACCTTCAAAGTATCAGGAAGCTAAAGTTAATGAAATTCCACAGGCTTTTTGTAAATTCAACACTGATCATTAGGAAGGTTTCATATAATTRTTAATACTTGGTACTTTTTTGTTTTTAGTGGGTCCAGGTCACATCCTTGTAGCCGCGTATGACGGAAGAACCTGTTATCAGCTTAAAGAGGTAAGCGCGTACACCATGCAAAAACATTCATCAAACGTTTTTGAGAACAATGTGCCCGCCATCTTGAAAAGTGAATCCCAAATCGCTTTGTTTGGCCTCAGAACACATTTCGTAGTTGCTAGGTCAACTCATTTATCATTATATCGTATTATATTAACTTGACATTAGCTGAGAAACTCTTAATTCCTTTAGGAGTTATAATTTAGTGATTCGGGTTCCACTTTTCAAGATGGCGGACGCATTGTGCTCAAAAACTCTTGATGCATATATATCAAGTGATGATTGAATAAAATAATATTTATTAATAGTACTTGTGCCACGGATCAGAGGTGCTCTTGACTAGAATACTTAACAAAATGACCAACGACTCAGGGAATACTGGACCAGACCCTGTAATACCAGTTGATCTTGATTTCGAGATGGAAACAGATCAAACAGAAGATCCGGGAACTTCTGCTCAACCTGTAAAACAGGTAAGAAACCAGTCTTTCAGGAAAATTGAGTAAAAGCTTTCTAAAGGTGATGTGAATCGATGTTAAATATTGTCCGCATGTTTTTATGAGCAATCATATATCGCAATACGTTTCGTGTTTTCTTTGCCAAAAAAGCAAGTAGTTTTGTAGTTTCTGTCAATGAATCACAAGACGTAATCCAATAGATCTTATTTTCGCGGTTTAAATTTCACATGGATTTTGTTCGGGAAATTGCGTCTCTGTACATTGCCAACATTTCCTATAGGAAAACATTTCAAGTACTAGACTACCTCGAATACGTTTAGTAATAAATTTTGGATATTTGTTTTATAGAACGTGCCTAAATCCCGTCGAGGTAGAAGTCGGGCAGGGAGAGGGAAAGGAAAGACTGACCTAAAGCAAACCAAACTTGTCGAAGCTGATAAGGAATCAACAAAGTAAGGGATTTAAAAATATATATATATATGAAAATTCGAAGGTGGTAGAGTACAAACAKTAAATGTGTGCAACACTTTCCGCTATTTACTACAAAATAGTGTTAATTAAACAATAGAAACAATAGAATAGCATAATTTAGCAGTATTTAGTGGTATTTTTGTTGCACAGTTTTAGTGTTTGTACTCGATACAGACTAAAGGTATAGCCTGTCTTCCTTGTGCCGTGTGGCACATAGGGCCACATACAAACTAAAGGTATAATGGCAAATAAACAGAAACACAGACGAACTGATAGTTCAGTAGCAGATCAGAAATATAAGCTCATGTAAAGAAAGCGACCGATCGACAGAATATCTCTTCAGTTTTTATTGTTATTTGTATACAAACGTATTTATTCATTCAACTTGCAAGTTGTGCCTTTTTCTTCAATTTATTCAATTTATATACTCAAAGGCCGAAACGTTCGAATAAAGAGTAGGAATGCTAGTTGCAATTCGTGTGCCTTTTTCTTCAATGTATTCAATTTATTCATTCAACTTTATTTATGTAGTTAATTTCTACCTTCCCTTGATATGAAAATGTCGAGAAGTAATTAAATAGATGCAGGTGGAGACCTGACAGCAGCACTGAAAGCCTCACCGACTGACAACCACATTGAACAATCAGGCAGAGATATATAAAACCACACTGAGATAGTTAAGTTGCTCGTGAAAATCAAAATCGCAGGAAAGCAAGCAACAGGAAGCATTGAATATTGCTCCTAGAGACATCCAGGATATCAAATTTACTGGCCCATTACTAGTTTACATGAGGGGTACTTCTGGTATGACTTGCTAGCAATCTTGACGGTTTTTTCTTCTATGTGATGTTTTTCAGCTTGCCAGAACAAACGACGACTTCGTCAAGTGAAAATAATCAAGGTGGGACTATTTCTTGTTCTCTCTTTGTATCATCATCACTCATCTTTTAGGCTTCTGTGTCATAAAGATTCATGCTAATGCTTTGGTGCTTTTATTGTTCTATTTTATAGGAACAACAAAAAATATTTTTCTCAAGGTAACGATTGTACGGTTTTACAAATTATTGACGAAAGAGAGGCAGCAAATCCAAACAATTCAGCTGAGTTATGATCTTGTGCTTGCTTGTCGACTTTTAGTTGTTTCGCTTTTTGTTGTCAGATTTCTGCGTCGTAAAACTGTTGCCGTTTTCTTTTAAATTGAACTTAAACATATTAATAGATCTAATGAATCTTTTTTTCTTTCTGTTTAGGCTTACGACGCAAAAGAAAATATCGATAATAAACAAACGGACGTTCAAATGATGACTTCACCCGTAACTGTGATTCATCCGCTGGTCGGATGCAGGTAATYGATAAATAATCAATAATGGATCGGAAATCTATGAAGTTTCTGTCGTATACATGTCGGTCACCCAATCGGGAGGATTTAACATATCCAGTCTCCGTCGACAACTTTTTTTTATGATTTCGTATTCTAGTGATCGGAAGTGTATCGAGTAGTGTCGCTTATTTGTCGGTGAACCGTCGGGAAATATTCGATAATATTTCACTATTTCTGACATTTTGTGTTTTTTTTTTTTTTGTAGTGATCCTTACAGTTTAATCAAAACCTTGGAGGAAATAGAGCCACGATATGTGATTCTGTATGACTCCGAGATGGAATTCGTTCGTCAACTTGAGGTGAGATGAMGATAGTGATGTTAGTGGTTACGAGGGATCAAAAATGAAAATGTGTAAGGGGAATCGAGTATTTTTCTTCGAAAGTTGAAAACTTCGTTTATAAAATATCAATCGGGTCCATTCAGATCACCTGAAGGACTTCAAAAACATACTCTGGGCGGAAAACTAGCACTGATCTAAAGAGATTGCTCAAGAAGAGATCGCCAATTTGGACCAGCTATATGGGTTTGTAATCGATTACTCATCTGGAACTATAACGAGAGAGACTCTGCTAGCAGGAAAATAAGAAGAATGATGATTATCTTACCAAATATACTTTTCCAAATTTGTGCTATAACTCTTACTTTTTCGTATGCTGTAGACCCATTAAGAAAGAAAATTAATAAATAAAACTCTTAGCTTAAAATTGTTGCGCCTCCTAAATAAAGTTCGGTTTTCCGTCCAGGAAGTATAGTAATGACGACGGTGTGTTGCTTTTGCTTGACCACCTTAATACGGCCACTCCGTTATGACGGTCAGATTTCTAGATACTTTGCTGCCTGGTTAATACGATCGCCCCGTTAATCCGACCCTCAAGTGGCCAGAATAGCAAGGTTCCACTTTTTCATTATATAACAGGTTTACAAAGCTTCACGACCTGGTGTTCCACTAAGGGTGTATTTCATGATCTACGCAGGGTCGGTGGAAGAACAAGTAGGTTGCTAGAATGTCAATATGAATTTGATTGCCTACCGAATAGTAACATTGCTTATTTATCGTCTAGAAATATCTTACAACATTACGTAAAGAAAAGGAAGCATTTGAAATGCTTATCAAGGAAAAAGCGGTAAGCGATGATCATGAATGTTGGTGCTTTGTAAATAGAAAGCATATATATGTATTCATGACTAATCATGGTACGATACGATGCGAGTGCGATATGAAGAAATAACAGCTAAGCTTTAGTATGATATGAAGAATTATTGGTTGAATCACAATAGACCTCTGAAGCTTTTACGTCAGTCATATACCGTATACGCAATGCATTGTAGGATATGTTTTGGGGAGAACATGCGTTTTTCTTGGATCTGGGGTGATCCCACAATGCAATGAAAATCAAGTAGTGACGTAAAAGGTTCAGAAGTCTATTAGATATGAAGAAGTATTGATTGAGGTTTACCATGATAAACATCTTTATTATTAACAAAAAACTCATTCATAATCCTTATACAATATTTTTTATATTTTTTTCCAGACAATGGTGATCCCTGAAGAAAGAGAAGGAMGGACGGAAGCAGCAATGAGCCTCAGCCGCGATCCATCGAAGGCGACAGACGCTGTTGACACACGCAAAGCAGGAGGAAGAGAAGAGCACGCTAAACAAGCAAGACGAGTAAGTTCATCGTTTCTTGTTAAGTTGCCGCACTGAATTTTATTTTAGATGAGAAGATTAATACCATTGGCATAAGGTAAATTTTAAATTAGGTGAATAACCTATTAGAGTACAAACATTAAATTTGTGCAATACTTTCCGCTATTTACTACAAAATAGTGTTAATTAAACAATAGAAAACAGTAGAATTAGCATAATTTAGCAGTATTTAGTGGTATTTATGTTGCACAGTTTTAGTGTTTGTACTCTAAAGATATCTTTTTAAAAGTTCTTTTTCGATCACCCTTTGACAGCAAAGATTAATTTTAATATTTTTTTATTAAACATCTGCCATCTTGATACTTTGATAAATACCATGATGCACTTCGCCATAGTAAGCATGACGTCATAAGGGACTGAAAAGAACCAATCCAAGTGTAACATTGAACTTATTTCTATTGAAGGTGATTGTCGACATGAGAGAATTTCGCAGTGAGCTACCTTCTTTGATTCATCGACGTGGCATCGACATCGAACCAGTAACGCTAGAGGTAAAACCGTCAAGCATTGTAAACAGACCACATTTTTTCGTGCAATTCATGACATTATTYACAAAATGACGTCTCAGCGCATTTATCATTGGTGTCTAGGGCAATTATAGATGGACTGCTGTCAAGTCAAAATCTTGATGCAGTTTAAGCAGCGTTGCAACAGCGTTTAAACTTGATGAAGAAATTGAAGCACGGCAAAATACTGTTTGCTACCCTCTTAATTCATTGTAGTTTGAACTTGTGTTTACAATCGTAAGTTTTTGCCATTTTTTGTAAGATAGTTTTCCGCTGACCTTTAAGATTGCTGGCTTAAAGTTCAACCTATCTTACAAATCATAATGGCTGACACACTAGTTAAAACTACAACGAATTTTAATTTTAGTTTTAAAGAAAGGTAACAAACAKCATTTTGCCGTGATCCCTTGGACAAATTGTGTCATTTTCTTTAGGTAGGTGACTATATCCTCAGCCCAGACATGTGTGTAGAGAGGAAAAGTGTAGGRGATTTGATTGGATCCTTGAATAGTGGTCGACTGTAAGTATATATACATTGTTCAATCCAGGGTAGAATCGTCAGGGTAGAAGTGTTGTAATAATTCTTTTAACAAGCGAAAATATTAAACCCCTGTAAGATCTGTCACCTTTAACATACTTAACAATGTCAAATTCAATCCTCTTTTTCTTTCTTTTTTTTTTCTTTTCTTTTTCTTTAAATTTTGTTTGTTTATTACAAAAGGATAACTATCATTACTGGGTAAACTACGTCAGGCCAACACAGGCATATTTAATAAATGTCCTAATTTTAGATTTTTCTGTGTAGATGTTTATAGTTGAAACCGACCTTTCGGCYAAAGCGSCCATTATCAAGGTTGTAAGTTCRCGAGGAAACTTACAATAAATATTTGTGAGMAAAAAGTCAATTTTAATCCWTAAAAAGATCAAACACATTTGTTTATTCTTTTCTGGGTGTTAAAGTTATTATTTTCTCTCATCTTTCTCCCTGTTTGATTTAATTCCTTCGTTTCATTCTTATCCCATTCTATTTCTGCTCTTTTCTGTCCTAATTTCTCCTTCCCTGCCTTACCCTCGTTAGAATCAACATAATTTTAAAKTGTTTCACGTTCTGTAGATATAATCAAGCCGTTGCGATGACCAGGTATTACAAGCGACCAATACTGCTCATTGAATTCGACCAAAACAAATCCTTTGCACTACAGGTAAAACTGTTATTGGAATAAATTTATTTGATTCTTCTATATCCCTTCCTTTTGTCGGGCTTCCTCT